CCCCCCCCCCCTCCCCATGCATGCACAACACACAGCGTTTCCCTCCATATCGTTGAACCGACCATCGACCCCATGCGCTATACCGATAAGTACACCGAAACTCGCGCCCGGTTGACTTTATTTTGTCATTGCAGCGGACGACGCACAGGGGAGGCCCAAAGTGAATCGTGCGCGTCCCCTATGGGTCGGCGTCGGTCGGTCGTCAGGACGACCAACGACCCCATGCGCTATACTGATAAGTATACCAAAACTTGCGTCCGGTTAATTTTATTTTGTCATTGCAACGGACGACGAGTCTACAGGGAAGGCCCAAAGTGATTGGTGCGCTTCCGCTCTTCGGTTTGTCAGGTCGACAAAACTCGGCTCGCCGGAGAGTCATAGGGACGAGTTATAAGGACAGCAGGACACACACACACACACACACACACACACACACACACACACACACATCGCGTCGGGACCCACCGATTGGGCGCGAACTGTTGCCTAGCAGGACCCGCACCCCGCTATCTTCGCGCCAATCAGTCACGACTTAAACTTGACTCAATCCGCATAGCAGACAAGGGAAACTACACTTGTGTGTTGTAGCCACCGAGATGTGCAAAATAATAAGGATTTATTCTTAGACTCACCGAGCGTGACGGCGGTGCGCTCCTTGGTGGCGGGCACGTACTTCATCAGCTTCTTGCCCTCGATGTCCACGTAGTAGAGGCTCTTGCTGGCCGCGTCCCAGTGCGGGCCCTCGCCCAGCGTGACGGGCTCGCAGACCTTGGCGACGACGGGGGCCATGATAGTGTGCTTCTACTCTGCACGGCGGCGTCCCAGGGAATGAGACAAACACGGCAAGTTTAGACGCTTTAAGAGGCGACACGAATCAGAGAGATGCACCAAACACGCGCCCGCAAAATTGTCCCGAGGTCTAGAGAGAGATATTACATAAACGCGCTGTTTAAGCTGTCTCAGCGGGACATAGTCTTCCGTGGGCGTGCGTTCGTTGTCGTCCGGGCTGCCGGACGAAGCCAGGTAAAACGAGTAAAGAATACAGTACTAGTGGGCTGGGACTGCCCCCCCCCCCCCCTTCACGACTGGGACTGGGGGCGCTGTTATCTCAACTTAAACTCGCTAACCTTCTCACAGCAGTACGCGGACGCGCGGCCGAGCGAGAGAGGGAGCGCGAGGGGCACAAATCGAAGAGCAAATGTCAGCCGTCAAAGTCGCCCCTCTTGTCGGTAAAGTCCACATGTATCACGCTAGCCGATGTCCCTCGTCTCCACTGCATGCTAGGCGCTGTTAGCACTGACTGCCGTCGCCGAGCGCGGCGGCGCGGCGCGGTGCCGGCGTGCTCCCCCCC